CATATGAGTGCGTGGGACACATTAAACATTAAACTATTCTGTTGGTAGGAAATTTTGAATTTTCCCGGGTGGCGGTGGGAACCTACTCTTATCGATTTTGAACCACCTAGGGGTCTTTATCGAGCAGATCTTGGAAACGGGACCTCCGGGATTTTTCGCATTTATCCGAGAAAGCTAGGTGTAGATCTTACCTACCATAAGATCAGGGGTGTGTTTCAAAGACATTTTTAAGAAGGAGCCAAGGAGTAGCAGTAGAAATGCTGCAGAAAAAGTCAGGAGCCCAGAGGAGGGGGGCAAAGGAGGTGAGAAGATGGGGGCAGAAAATTGAGACAAAAGCAGACAGTAGAATGACAGGAAGAAAGGAATGTGATAGGAAAAAAATATTAGAGAGGCAAATTTTCCATCACTATCCGAATCCGAACCAGTGACCTTTACATGATAGGCGAGCACCTTAACCTCTAGACCACGAGAGCCCCCCGATATAGTTTGCCTTTTTTTGCCTTTTAGCAACACTGTCGCTGGGTGTAATCTAGATTTTAGATCTACTGAATGGCGAATGCGGCGAAGTGAATCGAACAAAAGTCTAAACAGATCAAATAGAATTTAGATTCAACAAACCCCATGAGGAATTATGCAGACTCTATCAATTTGAACCGAACTTTACAGTGTTTATTATAGGTCTGTGTCTCAACTACTAGTTAATAATTATCAAATACACCGGTATATTGCTGTTAAGCAAACAGAACAAAACAAAACTAAACTGAATAAGATAGATGCAGTTTTAATGTTGTTGTTCTTGTTTGTCGAAGTCGATCCAGCCTCAGCTGGTCTTTTGCCCTTCTGTTTTATACCGCGTCGTGATAAGTGCAGGTTTGCTGCAGTTTCTGTATTGTTCCACAGAGTGTGGTGTCATTTTTAAGTCTCCAATGGGGACGTGTAGCTCAAATATCATTAAGGGTCGCACAGTGCAACATGTCATTATTCACTGACTCAAAATATGTGTCACGACGCGTTGGAATCAGACGCTCGTCAATTTTTTGGGCATGTGGAGTTATTGATGTCATTTTAAAGTTTGTTCATTTGTCTATTATTTGATTTAAAAAAGGCAGTAAGTTTGTATGAAAGTCAAGATATTTGCGATTGAAGGAGGTGGGGGTGGGGGGGGGGGGGTCACTTGGTTTCAGCAGTAAAATAATAAAGAAAATGGTCGCAAAATTTTCGTGACATCCAAAGCTTGAGAGTCCTTGGAAACAGAAAATTTACATTTTTTGTGTGCATTTAATCAACGGTTATTCAGAAATATGAAAACAGAAATGTGCTTTGAAATGAAGATAAAAGGTGCTGAGCTAAAAACCAAAAAAGTCATAAAAATCACCAAACCGTCAGGAAAAAAAGCCGATATCTTCGATTTCATTAATTCTACGAGCGCCTGATTTCACCACGATGTGTCACATAATATGCATTGTCTCACAAAAGGCACGATGGGGGGGGGGGGAGTTCTGGATTTATTCTGTTTAAGTGCAAGTTGGGCTCCTTTGTTATAATATTATTCTGTTGACTGGCGAAAGCTCCTGGTCTGTTCCTTTTTCTAAATGTAGTTAGAATTGACATTTCATTTTGGTATTTTTGTGGTCGTATATTTGAAAACGGCCCCTACTGTCTTTCTCCAGACCCATCTATTTATCGTATCTCGTGTATTATTACTGTTAATGATTTTGTATGTAGCATTAAGTGAAGTTGGACTTTTGGGCTGTTCCTGTGTTGATAACCTTTTGGTAAGTGTTTGTGCTCTGTCATGTCCTGGTGCGTTCACGTTTTTGGGAAACCAGTGTATCACCATGTTGACACCACCGGAAGTTACCAGGTCGTGGAAAGCCAAGTAGTAAAGTGTCCATTTTTAGGGTCAATTTTCGATGAAATTGTCGATTTCCTGGAAAGCACCTTTTTAACACCTTCGGTCATTGCTGAATCACATGTTTTTGGTTCATTTGGTAAACAAGCAAAACAAAAATTTTAAATGATCAAATAGGTAAAAATGTGTTTCAACCTGCCCCCCCCCCCCCCCAAATCCCTTGCAAAAACGACCGCTTGGCCACTTTTCCTCTCTTTTTTGTTACATTTTGTGTCTACGTGGTTAACTAAACGTCCAGTTGTGAGTTTATTTGTAACTGTACAGAAATAAGATTTTGAATGTGATTAGAAATAATAGTGCATAATTTACCAGAACCTTTGGAAGGGACAAACCCTCAAATTACACAGTGACAATTTTAAATGAGTTTTTCTCATAACTTTATTTTTAAAAGACCCTATGTCACTAGAGAGAAAAAAAGAGTACTGAAATGTTACATTGAGCCAATCCTATTATACGGGTGCGAAGCATGGACAATCAATAAACAGCTGGAAAGAACAATTGTGGCGACCGAGTTGTGGTTCATAAGACGCATGCTACGTATCCCATGGACAGCTAGAAAAACAAATGAAGAAGTCTTGGTTACGTTGAAACACATTGCAGAAGACAGCTTATGACGAATATAAGAAAGCGACCGGCAAATTTCTTCGGACACACAATGCGGAAAGAAGCATTGGAGGCTATAGTAACAACAGGCAAGTTTGATGGACAGAGAGGCAGAGGCAGACAGAGGAAAAGATACTGGACAAGATGATAATATGGCTAGGAGCAGCAAGAACAACTGACACCATTGCTGCAACGCAAGACAGAGTGAAGTGGAGGTCCACGACCGCCCACGCCAGTCGGCAAGGCACCGGATCATGATGATGATGGCACTAGAATCCTTACATCTCAGCTACTGATCAAGATACTGTGCTGAAACATTTCACAAATGTGCAGAGAGATATTGCTTGTTACAGGTCACTTATAACATTTTTACTTGCAGGAAATAGTTAGCACCTGAGAATGTTGCTTTTGAAAGTCATTTTGCGCTCAAATTTTCAATCAGAAAAGTACCTCATTTTGAAAGTCCTAGCAATTCCATAATACAGGAACAATATTTAAAAACATCAGTCAGTTACCTATAACTCATTTTATTAAATTGATATTCGTAAAATAAATAATTAACGTTATGCCTTTTTGTGTGAAAGTTTAGTCTGAAAAGATACATTAATAACGAAACTAGCTTTTGTGAGTTGATAGACTCTTAAGATTATGGTCATTTTCTGCTGCTTGCAGGACTGAGAGTGATAAGTGACGATTAAATTAGATACTCTGGAATTTTGTTTATAGACAATGACAATGACAATGACAATAACAATCTTTATTCATCTCACAGGGAGAAATTTGTCTTGATCGTTAACAATGGCAGTAGACGTTACAA